CCCAGGAAGGTACATGAGGCCAATGGGGATTGAACCCACGACCTCCTGAATGCCACTTGCGAGCCTTACCAACTGAGTTAGGCCGCTGGATACAGCTGGAAATTTCAATATTCTTTTGCCCAGCGGAGAAAATAAGGGTGTATTCACACTAGAGGTATCTCAAATGTACCGGACGGCATTCACAGCCATACCTGGATGTATCTGGCTGCCATTCGATCCAAAATATATAAAAGAGTCGTAGTGTAAGTATGCCCTAAGGCCGCACAACATAAGGGTGTATTCACACTAGAGGTATCTCAAATGTACCGGACGGCATTCACAGATGTATCTGGCTGCCATTCGATCCAAAATATATAAAAGAGTCGTAGTGTAAGTATGCCCTAAGGCCGCACAACACTGTCCGCCGTCGCGATGTGCCGCGTAGTTTTGAACACAGGCACAGGAGCGCTTCCCCCGAACATAACGCACCCTGATAATGAATGTATACCATCTTTCCCTCCCGAGGCAGTCAAAATGATGGTGCGTTGTGTTCGGGTGAAGACGATCGTGGGACTTGGGCCCCGCTCTTTTGGGTGTGCGAGATCGCGGCTGTCGGGATGCAATGCCGGGGAGATGTACGGCTGTCGATTTTTGTCTGGCGGCGTGGAATCATTTTGTGTCGCTTTTTCTTGCTGTTCGCACGAGCACGAGCACGAGCATGAGGGTTTTTCATCTGCCGCTTTTCCGATTGTGTTCTGGTATGGCCACCCCCTACTTGCTTGCGCACAGACGGATTGTGATGTTGTGTATGTTCCATGGTCGTATGGATCTACGTCTTCGTATGGTCATGGCCGCCTTGTTTGAGCAGATAAAGTTTTGATTGTTGTGTGGTTTCTGTGTGTGTGTGTGTGTGAGAGAGAGAGAGAGAGGAAAGTCTTTCAACACCTGCGGAAGTACGCAAAAACGGGACAAAAAAGTTGAGAGAGAGAGAGAGAGGTCTTCCAACACCTGTGGAAGCACAGAAAAACGGGAAAAAGAGTTGAGAGAGAGAGAGAGAGAGAGAGAGAGAGAGAGAGAGAGAGAGAGAGAGAGAGAGAGAGAGAGAGAGAGAGAGAGAGANAGAGAGAGAGAGAGAGAGAGAGAGAGAGAGAGAGAGAGAGAGAGAGAGAGAGAGAGAGAGAGAGAGAGAGGGAGAGGAAAGTCTTTCAACACCTGCGGAAGGACACAAAAACGGGACAAAAAAGTTGAGAGAGAGAGAGAGAGAGGACAGTCTTTCAACACCTGTGGAAGCACACAAAAACGGGACAAACGAGTTGAGAGAGAGAGAGAGAGAGAGAGAGAGAGAGAGAGAGAGAGAGAGAGAGAGAGAGAGGACAGAGTCTTTCAACACCTGCGGAAGCACACAAAAAGGGGAAAAGGAGGTGCAACGATGGAAAGGTAGGGAAAGTGGAACGTCCATGAGGGCACTTCCACTGAAGGTCGCGGTTTTATGAACGGGGTCTATTTTGGCCGCGGGTTTGTGGACTGAATCTACAAGTGTAGCAGTGTATATTTCCATGTTCTAGAGGAGGATTCATTCGATCTTGCTCATCCTATCTATGGAAGTAGCGTGAGGCCAGCCGTGAGGTTGGAAACTTACCTGTTCTCTCTCCCGATCTTTGTGTCGCTCTCTCTCTCTTTCTCACACACACACAAAAAAAAAAAGTAAAAAAAAGTGGCAGTGTATATTTCCATGTTCTAGCGGAAGACATCCTGATTTTGCTCATCCTATTGATGGAAGTAGCCTCTCTCTATGTCTCTGTGCACATGGCTGGAAAGCAGTGTATATATTTCCATATTCTAGCGGAAGATTCATTCCGATTTTGCTCATCCTATCGATGGAAGTAGCCTCTCTCTATCACTTGCGTGTATGGCTGGAAAACTCTCTCTCTCTCTCTCTCTCCACACTCTCTCTCTGTCTCTCTCTCTCTCTCTCTCACACACACACACACATACACACACAAGTGTAGCAGCTCTCTCTCTCTCTCTCACACACACACACATTCACACACAAGTGTAGTAGTGTCTATTTCCATGTTCTAGCGAAAGATTCATTCGATTGTGCTCATCCTATCGATGCAAGCAGTGTGAGCCCAGCCGCGGGGTCGGAGACTTACCTGTTGGCCGGGGCGTTGCTCATCCTATCTATGGAAAACTCTCTCTCTCTCCCTCTCTCTCGCTCTCTCGCTCTCACTCACTCACTCACTCACTGACTCACATACACACACAAGTGTGGCAGTGTATATTTCCATGTTCTAGCAGTAGATTCATTTGATTTTGCACATCCTATCGATGGAAGTAGGGCGAGGCCAGCAGTGGAATTGGAGACTTACCTGTTGGCCCCAATCGAAATCTTGAGGGGCGGGAGTAGCAGGAGAAGAATGAAGGGGCAGGGTGAGGATGTGGGATCAGGAGGATGAGAGCGTCGGGACTTTGTCGGTCAGGATCGGGATGCGGCCACAGAGGAAGCAGAAGGAGAGTAATTGGGATAGGGTGAAGCATGAGAGGTACGTTTGCCGGTGTTAGGGTGGTGGTTGTGGAAGGGAAGGGGACATCGAGGAGGGTCCTATAGTAAACAGGAGGAGGATGTAAGTGAGGGACACATCTTGTGAAGAAGCGTATGAGCAGCGCGGATTGGGAGGAGGCCGATCTGGATGTGGAATAGAGAGGAGGAGGTGGTCGGAATGTCAGCCAATCAGGGTGAGGATGAATGTAACCGCAGATGGATCTAAGTGCAGGGGAAAGAACGTGAAGGTGGCAGGGTACGGACTGCAGGTCGTGTAGGGGGATCTGGACAAGGTAGGGAAGAAGAGATTGAAAGGCAGGAAGAGGGGCTCAATGCGGAGGGAGGGGAGGAGGGTATAAGGAAAAGGAGGGAGCAGAATAATGATGAAGGGCTTGAATCACGAGAGGCGAATATGGAGGTGATGGAGAGAGAGGAATGAAGAGAGAACGAAAGATAGAAAGAGGAAGAGAGGGAAGGACATACCAGATCTGCAGGAGCCACATCCATTATTGAGGGGGTTGGAGCTTGAAAAGAATCCCATCGGAGGAGAGAAAGGAGGTGACGGTCACAGCTCGGAGGGGATCCCAATGGAGGAGAGAAAGGAGGTGACGGTCACAGATCGAAGGGGATCCCAACGGAGGAGAGAAAGGAGCAAAACATTTTGGACATCTGATGAGTGGTGCAGCGAGGCCCTTAATTGATCCATCCACGTGCTGTACACATTGTCAGCTTCTTATCACAGTCCTTCATCTTCCTCGAAACAAGGGTAGAACTCTGTTCCACACGGTATGCGGCACTCAAAATATCACTCCGGCAGTATTCTTCCTTTCCTCACTCTCTTTCTCTATCACTGCATCTCTGTCTTAATATGCACAGAGCAAGCGAGACAGCGTGTGTGTGTGTGTGTGTGAGAGAGAGAGAGAGAGAGAGAGAGAGAGAGAGAGAGAGAGAGAGAGAGAGAGAGAGAGAGAG